TACTTGAAGCAGCAAAAACAAAAATGAATGAAATAGAGATTTTTAAGAAAATGGCAAGTTTAGCATTTAGCTTTTGGGTGCTGGAGACTGAAGAATTACAGCATGTTGGCATGGTATGTCCCTTTGGAGATTGTTGGGTCCCCTTCTATTTTTACAGATGGAAACTGAGGCTGGAGAATGCCTCACACTAGAATCAGGTGTTTTCAGACACACATTCAGGGTCTCTTCTACACATCCTGCACCTCTCTTAAATAGGGCCCAGGAAGAGGGCCTGATTTGAGAAAGGATTGGTGATGTAGCAGAGGCGTTGGGCCACGAGGTAAACTGAAGAGGTTGACACTGCTGGCTTCTAAAGTACCTCCTGCAGGGTTTCCTGGGCGCTTGATGGTGGCGGCTGAACTGAATCCCACTGGGGCATCAGCTGGAGGTGGTCTTCTCCCTGACAGAGGTGACCGAAAACCAACCACCGGCAGCTCTTTCTGCCAGAACTGAGACTGTCCTCGTCTTAGGACTTTAGAGCTGGAGAGGGCCCCAGAAAGCATCAAGTTGACCTCAGAAGAATTAAGTGACCAGCCCAAGGTCACGCGGCTGGTCACGCACTGCCTCACGACTGGAATCCGGGCTCTGTCCTCTCCAGCTCTGCACCAAGACACTCCTCATTTGGTGCCAGAGTGAGTTTGAGGCGCTTCCGGAGACGGGGAGGCTCTGTCTGAATCTGTTGCCGCCGCTGGCTGCTGGTTTTCCGGATTTAACTGGGAGATTGCCAGATCTGCCTTAGCGCGGTATGCAAGAATCAGGCCATGGGAGATGCCCCTGGATGGCATGGCTTTTTCCTTTCCCAAACCAATCTACTGTATTCTGTGGCCCGCAGCAGCCTAACTGTAGGATCTGCTTAATGGACCTAAGTTCATACTGAATTTTTCAGCTGAAGGGTATTTCTCTCTTCCTGTTCTGAATTTGGTAAATGAGTGCAGGTGAAACCAGCATATCTTGCACTTGTTTCAGAGTAAATTACCACATGCCTCAAGACTTGAAAAGCTGCATGGTAGTATCATGATTACTTACAAACAAAAAAGCAGAATGCAGCCCTAGAACAAACTGGAAGCTTTGAAACCAAACCAACTGAGTCCACATTTACTAGCCATGTGGTCTTGAGCAAATATTTGCCTTCTCTGAGGCTCAGCTCCCCCATTTGTAAAAGGGAGATAATATTTTATCCCTACCTTAGCCTGGCAGGGATGTTGTCAAGTATATGGTTAATGTTGTGTAAAGCAGACATCCATTCCACCTTCATATCTGTAATATTTCTAAGCGCTTCAAGGAAGCTGTTATTTAAGGTATAGCCTGATGAAATTTTGTAACATGAGGAATTTTAAAGGTGAGACTCAGCTATATATTTCTTATAATAATGTAATATTAGTGAAAGAAAATTATGTTTGTATGTATTGAAAGGTAAAAATAACTTACTCTAAAAAGAAAATGACATTAGTTGAGTTTCCTTGGGAAGTTGCATCAATCCTAGGCTGATCTTTTCACATAAACATGTATGAATGTGTGTGTGTCTGTGTAGACACATGTATGTGTGTTTATGTATGTATATAGAGAGAGAACTTCTATTTTTCAGATACTTGGCCTACAGAGCAATTTGTACTTTACCTACAGTATAGGTAGGCAAAGAATACCAGATTAAATGTTTCCCACCCCCAGGGGTTTTCCACCTTCGTCCTGTCTGCAGGCAGCCTTTCATGGGAGGCTGGACACATCAGGGCCACTGCCAAGCACCTCAACAGCCCCAGGCACGGCATCCTGTGGCCTCACACCCAGCATCTAGCTCCATCCCAGAACTGGGCACCACCTGAGTGAGGACATCTGGGCGCTGGTTTCAGACATGCCTTTCACCTGTGTGGCCTTGGCTTGGGCAGCAGCTCAACCTTCTGACCTCAGCATATTAGCTCTGGCCCTTCCAGGACACAGTGAGGTAGAGAGGCTGGTTCCCCCAGAGCAAGAAACACCCGGGCCTTGTCTCTGGGGCCACTGCACCACCGAGGCTGGAGCGAGCAGATCTCAAGCCTGGCCTAGAAGACCTCTCCTCCCAGAGAGGGGCTCAATGGGTACTAAGGTCAGGCCCCCTCTTCCCCGGAACCCTCAGAGCCTCATAGAATGTCCCTCCATCCTCGGAGCCCACTTCCACTCTGGGTGAGGAGCTATGTCCTCACCACTTTGTGGACAACCCCTGCTGCCTCCCTCTCAGGCCCACAGGTTGAAGACAGGCCAAAGGCCAGCTTAGACTCCCAGCCTGGTCATGGTGAGGGGACAGCTCAGCTATGTATGAAAATGACCCTTTGATTAAAATATAGTTAACCTGCACTGCTTTTAAGAGAAATCT